GTTTTAACAAACTCCATTCCTGTCACATCTACATTCCGGACAAAAGCGCATCTTGGAGTTTGTGGATCTGGTGCATAATACAAAGGACATTAAGAAACTAGCGTGAACTTCAGGAGAGTTGCAAGAAGTAAAGTCTGATTCTGTTCTGAAAAGTAACTATATAAATGGCATACGGTGCTCTATTTGTCTCCAGATTTCTGAACAGATGTGCTCAATGTACAGGCAGAGATATTTAGTTCTTGCAGATTCAATCTGGTATCTGAGAACCCAGCCGCTCCCTCTGCTTCTCATACATTACCTGTAATAAAGGTCCCAAATTAGGCCCTGTACAAACCCACATCATGTCTTTATATGATGCCATCTGAATCACTTGTGCTAACTCAGTGCTTTCAGTGGAGTTACACAGATAGGACTGACTAAATATTGGTAAACTCTTCTGCTGAAGATACATAAAAGGAATACAGATTGCTCCCTATGAGCATGTTTGGCTTTGCAGGGCTGACCAGAGGAAAAAAAAAAAAGCTACAAAATGTTAGTTTAGTTTTTAAAGTCAGCAGCTGTGTCTAAATATGTACCTGGAGCAAATCAGCTAAGCAAACATGGCACCTTCTCACAGCCACTTCTCAGACTAGGACCACACATTAATTTAGAAAATTCTGCTGCTCTGAAAAGCTTGTGGGAGTTCTTCTGCAAAACGTGACAGTGCCGGAGTTTATGCAGCTCATGTGATCTCATCTTCTGTAACAAAATTTTATCAACATTTGTAAGTGTATAGCAGATGCAGGCAGATTTAAGATTCTCTTAATTTTTATAACCATCTAGGCAATATGATAGACCTTGTCATAAACATACAACTAAGAGTAGCATAAAATCCCTCCTTTACCTGTAAAGGGTTAATCAGTGCCATTAACCTAGTTGACACCTGAACAGAAGGACCAATGGGGAAAGAAGATACTTTCAAATCTGTGGGGGTGGAGGGTTTTTGATTGTGCTTTTGTTGTTCTCTCCGGAGACAAAGAGAGAGACCAAGCAAGTAATCCAGCTCCTACTGAACGATGCATCTAAAATTACAGAAATAGTAAGTAATAGCAAGAAAATGCATTAGAGTATCTTTTGTTTTAGCTTGTGAATTTTCCCTATGCTAAGAGGAAGGTTTATTCCTGTTTTGTTTTTTTTTTGTAACTTTAAAGTTTTGCCTAGAGGGGAATCCTCTGTGTTTTAAATCTTATTACCCTGTAAAATTATCTTCCATCCTGATTTTACAGAGGTGTTCCTTTTACTTTTTTTTTTCTTTATAATAAATGTTCTGTTTTTAAGAATCTGATTGGGTTTTTAGTGTCCTAAAAACCCAAGGATCTGGTCTGTACTCACCTTTACTCTCAAGCCTCCCCAGGAAAGAGGGTGAAGGGCCTTGGGGGCATATTTTGGGGAAACAGGAACTCCAAGTGCTCCTTTTCCTAAATCTTTGTCTAACTCACTTGGTGGTGGCAGCGATACCGTTCCAAGGACAAGGAAGAATTCGTGTCTTGGGGAAGTTTTTAACCTAAGCTGGTAGAAATAAGCGTAGGGGGTCTTTCATGCGGGTCTCCACATCTGTACCCTAGAGTTCAGAGTGGGGAGGGAACCCTGACAGACCTGAAGGAATAAAAATACCTAAAGTCTCAAACTAGAAAATTTAAGAATATGTAAGAAATGTGGTAAGAGGAAAACCTTTCCGGATTGAGACTTTAGGATTTTTTATTCCTTCGGGTTTATCACATTGCCTAGATGGTTATAAAAATTGTTGAGAATCTTAAATGTCTGGAACATCAGAAAAGTACTGCTTATATCATTATGTCATATGGAAACAACTGTGTATGAAAGGAAGACTTGCAGGAGAATACTAACTCTGTATGTGTGGTGAATGAAATGGATGCCCATAGTAAAGAAACAGTGTTCTGCATCTTTAAATTTGTTGAGAACTGTGCTGAGACAGCAGCCATTTTGTTCTCAGTGGCTCCTGCTGGTTCAGTGGAGACACACACAGTGCTATCTCATGGAGCCTTGAGTGTCTAACTTTTCTTGTTTGTGTTAATCTAACAAAAGTCCTTTAGCCAAGGTCACGGTTGCTCTTTGTGCATGGAAGAACATAACAGCATACTAGCTGTGTTAGTGTGGGTAAGATTTTCGCCACTGAATCCCTTTGCTGTTTGTATCTCTGCCTTCAGTCTAAAACAGTAGTTGCCAAAGCATGGGTGTGTGGAGTACGTGGTGGTTGTCTGGGGAGAGCTGGTTGGTCACACAGAGCTAGAATCTCCTCATTCCCAGCTACCACATTACATTGAAAACAGCTAAAAAGACATGCATGCTTTCCTGAAATTACTTTTCCGTCTACGCTATTGCTGTAGTCCCCACTAAACCTCTGCATATAACACCTCTAAACAGACAGCAGGTAAAGACCCAAATGTGCCCTCCCTCTCAGTGGAGCAGACAGTGCTGGTGATAGTCTGAGGATATCCAGATTGGCATGGAAACTGGAAAGACAAGGGGTCCACTACTGGCCAGCACCACTGCTCTTGCCAGCTGTAGATAAGGTTTTTAAAGACTTGGTATGTCTACACTACGAAATTAGGTCGAATTTATAGAAGTCGGTTTTATACAGTTGATTGTGTGTGTCCCCACACAAGTGCTCTAAGTGCATGTAGTCGGCAGAGTGTGTCCACAGTACTGAGGCAGCCGTTGACTTCCGGAGCGTTGCACTGTGGGTGGCTATCCCACAGTTCCCGCAGTCTCCGCCGCCCATTTGAATTCTGGGTAGAAATCCCAGTGCCTGATGGGGCTAAAACATTGTCGCGGGTGGTTCTGGGTACATATCATCAGGCCCCCGTTCCCTCCCTCTGTGAAAGCAAGGGCAGACAATCATTTTGTGCCTTTTTTCTTGAGTTACCTGTGCAGACACCATACCACAGCAAGCATGGAGCCCGCTCAGCTAACTTCACCATATGTCTCCTGGGTGCTGGCAGACGTGGTACTGCATTGCTACACAACAGCAGTTAATTGCCTTTTGGCAGCAGATGGTGCAGTATGACTGGTAGCCGTCAGCGACGTAGTTCTGGGTGCTCTTTTAATCGGGCGCCTGGGCAAACATGAGAGTGACTCAGCCAGGTCATTTTCCCTTGTTTCGTCTCGTGGCGATTCAGTCCTACCAGCAGTACACTGTCTTTTAACCTCCAGCCAGCAGAAGATGATGGCTAGTCGTCATACTGCACCGTCTTCTGCCGAGCACCCAGGAGATGACGACGGCTAGCGGTCGTACTGCACAGTCTGCTGCCAGCAAGATGTATAAAGATAGATGAAGTGGCTCAAAACAAGAAATAGACCAGAATTGTTTTGTATTCATTTTTTCCTCCCTCCCTCCTTCCCTCTGTGAAATCAACGGCGTGCTAAACCCAGTTTTGAGTTCTATCCTTGAGGGGGCCATTCAGTTTCTCACAAAGCCACCCTCTTTGTTGATTTTAATTCCGTGTAAGCCATCCCTGTAAGCCATGTCGTCAGTCGTCCCTCCCTCCGTCAGGGCAACGGCAGACAATAGTTCCGCACCTTTTTTCTGTGCAGACGCCATACCACAGCAAGCATGGAGCCTGCTCAGATCACTTTGGCAATTAGGAGCACATTAAACAACACGCACATTATCCAGCAGTATATGCAGCACCAGAATCTGGCAAAGCGATACTGGGCGAGTAGGCGACGTGAGTGATGAGGACATGGACGCAGACTTCTCTCAAAGAAGGGGCCCTGGCAATGTGGGCATCATGGTGCTAATGGGGCAGGTTCATGCGGTGGAACGCCGATTCTGGGCTCAGGAAACAAGCACAGACTGGTGGGACCGTATAGCGTTGCGGGTCTGGGATGATTCCCAGTGGTTGCGAAACTTTCGCATGCGTAAGGGCACTTTCATGGGACTTTGTGACTTGCTTTCTCCTGCTCTGAGGCGCAAGAATACCAAGATGAGAGCAGCCCTCATAGTTGAGAAGCGAGTGGCAATAGCCCTGTGGAAGCTCGCAACGCCAGACAGCTACCGGTCAATCGGGAATTAATTTGGAGTGGGCAAATCTACTGTGGGGGCTGCTGTGATGCAAGTAGCCAATGCAATCAAAGATCTGCTGATATCGAGGGTAGTGACCCTGGGAAATGTGCAGGTCATAGTGGATGGCTTTGCTTCAATGGGATTCCCTAACTGTGGTGGGGCCATAGACGGAACCCATATCCCTATCTTGGCACCGGAGCACCAAGCCGGCGAGTACATAAACCGCAAGGGGTACTTTTCAATAGTGCTGCAAGCACGGGTGGATCACAAGGGAAGTTTCACCAACATCAATGTGGGATGGCCGGGAAAGGTACATGACGCTTGCATCTTCAGGAACTCTGGTCTGTTTCAAAAGCTGCAAGAAGGGACTTTATTCCCAGACCAGAAAATAACCGTTGGGGATGTTGAAATGCCTATATGTATCCTTGGGGATCCAGCCTACCCCTTAATGCCATGGCTCATGAAGCCATACACAGGGGCAGTAGTCAGGAGCTGTTCAACTACAGGCTGAGCAAGTGCAGAATGGTGGTAGAATATGCATTTGGATGTTTAAAAGCGCGTTGGCGCAGTTTACTGACTCGGTTAGACCTCCGCGAAACCAGTATTCCCACTGTTATTACTGCTTGCTGTGCGCTCCACAATATCTGTGAGAGTAAGGGGGAGACGTTTATGGTGGGGTGGGAGGTTGAGGCAAATCGCCTGGCTGCTGGTTGCGCACAGCCAGACACCAGGGCGGTTAGAAGAGCACAGGAGGGCGCGTTGCGCATCAGAGAAGCTTTGAAAACCAGTTTCATGACTGGACAGGCTACGGTGTGAAAGTTCTGTTTGTTTGTCCATGATGAAACCCACCGCCCCTTGGTTCACTCTACTTCCCTATAAGCTAACCACTCTCCCCTCCTCCCTTCGATCACCGCTTGCAGAGGCAGTAAAGTCATTGTTGCTTCACATTCATGCATTCTTTATTCATTCATCACACAAATAGGGGGATAACTACCAAGGTAGCCCAGGAGGGGTAGTGGAGGAGAGAAGCACCAGGAGGGGTGGTGGAGGAGGGAAGGACAAGACCACACAGCACTTTAAAAGTTTAAAACTTTAAAACTTATTGAATGCCAGCCTTCTGTTGCTTGGGCAATCCTCTGGGGTGGAGTGGCCGGAGACCCCCCAACCGCATTCTTGGGCGTCTGGGTGAGGAGGCTATGGAACTTGGGGAGGAGGGCGGTTGGTTACACAGGGGCTATAGCAGCAGTCTGTGCTCCCGCTGCCTTTCCTGCAGCTCAACCATACGCTGGAGCATATTGGTTTGATCCTCCAGCAGCCTCAGCATTGAATCCTGCCTCCTCTCATCACGCTTCCGCCACATTTGAGTTTCAGCCCTCTCTTCAGCCCGCCACCTCTCCTCCCGGTCATTTTGTGCTTTCCTGCACTCTGACATTGTCTGCCTCCACGCATTCGTCTGTGCTATGTCAGTGTGGGAGGACAGCATGAGCTCCGAGAATATTTCATCACGAGTGCGTTTTTTTCGCCTTCTAATCTTCACTAGCCTCTGGGAAGGAGAAGATCCTGTGATCATTAAAACACATGCAGCTGGTGTTAAAAAGACATTTTCTAGAACAATGGCTACACTCTTTCACAGTAAACCTTGCTGTTAACATTACATACACAGCACATGTGCTTTCGTTCCAAGGTCGCATTTTGCCTCCCGCCCCCCCATGGCTAACAACGGGGAACATTTCTGTTCAGCCACAGGCAAACAGCCCAGCAGGAACGGGCACCTCTGAATGTCCCCTTAAGAAAAGCACCCTATTTCTCCAGGTGACCTTGAATGATATCACTCTCCTGAGGATAACACAGATAAAATGGCATGCAGCTCATCATAGAAGCGGCATGTTTGGGGCTCTGACCTGGAGCGGCAGTTTGCCTCTCTGGTAGGCTTGCCTCAGCTCCTTAAGTTTCACGCGGCATTGCTTCAGTCCCTGTTATGGCCTCTGTCCTTTATGCCTTGGGAGATTTTGACAAATGTTTTGGCATTTTGAAAACTGGAACGGAGTTCTGATAGCACGGATTCCTCTCTCCATACAGCGATCAGATCCCGTACCTCCCGTTCGGTCCATGCTGGAGCTCTTTTGCGATACTGGGACTCCATCATGGTCACCTCTGCTGATGAGCTCTGGCCAGCGTGGCAAACTGCAGGTGACCATGCAAACAGGAAATTGAAATTCAAAAGTTTGCTGGCCTTTTCCTGTCTACCTGGCCAGTGCATCTGAGTTGAGAGTGCTGTCCAGAGCGGTCACAATAAAGCACTCTGGGATAGCTCCTGGAGGCCAATACCATCTAATTGCGTCCACAGTACCCCAAATTTGATCCGGCAAGGCCAATTTAAGCGCTAATCCACTTGTCAGAAGTGGATTAAGGAAATCGATTTTAAGAGCCCTTTAAGTCGAAAAAAGGGCTTCATCGTCTGGACGGGTGCAGGTTTACATCGATTTAACGCTGCTAAATTCGACCTAAACTCCTAGTGTAGACCAGGGCTTAGAGGACTGTTTAAAACACAGTTCTATTCTGATGTAACCACCTTCACTACTAAAATGTCAGAATACCTAGAAGCAATCAGCTCTTGGATTAAGAGCAATCTTCATGCTCAAGCCAGGCAAGACTGAACTGATGCTGGTTGGAAAGGAGAAACCCTTTAACGAAATGACCAAGATGTTGTTTCCACCTTCCACAGAAGGCACACAGGCCCCATTCACCAGAGTGGGATGAAGCTTTGGGGTCCTGTCTGACTCCTCACTGAGCTTGGATGGCCAGAAAGCATCAACATCTGAAAATGCCTCCTTTTACCCCCAGCTTATTAGGCAACTTCCTCCCAGATGAGGACTGGCTACAGTGATCCGTGCATTTCTTCTCAAGTCCCTCCATTAGCTCCCAGATCGCTCTTGATGCCAGTTTAAGACCTTCATCCTAATTTTCAAGCAATTAATGGATCAAGCCCCAACTACATCAAAGACCAAATTTTGATCAATGAACCTCCATGACAGCTGTGTTCCACTGGGATAGAGGCCTGCCTGCTGACTGTATTGCCTACACTAAGATGTTGCTACTTTTTGCCTCCTGTTGTTTTTGCAGAGCCAATGTAATTACAGAGACGAGCTTGGATTCCAGTCTGGCTCACACATCAGCACTAGAATTGTTAACTAAGGATACTTACGGCTGGCTATATTTTAGTTGTAATCTGAACAGATTGGATATGGTGCCTTCAAGATGATTAATGCAGAACCCTGCAATCCCCTTTTTATGGGCACTTAGGGTTATTTTGAAGGCAAAGGGCTGTATCTAAATACACCTCCAAACAGCCATGGTCAAAGAGGGTCAGACAAACCAAGCTTTTTTTGCCCTGATCCTGGCTCCACTGAGACCTAAGGAGGCTATTACACTAGTCCTTCAAGTGGAGCCACTGAGGAGTGCTCTGAGACATGGGCTTAAGGACTGGCACACAGACCATTTGGGGCATCTCAATGCATGTGTATCCTGAACCAGATCCACATAATTCCTCCCCCAACAACCCCATGCCATTCCCATCCTGCTTGTCACAGGAATAACCTGGGAAGGAGGGCTCTAGGCTAGCTAGCACGTAGGCTCCCAATAGTAGGAGGTTTATAGTATTAAGAGGCATCCTTTTTCTGGAAAGCCTGAAGATTTCTCAGAACCTGGCCCATAATTCTCACTAATTGCTTGATTGCTATTCCCTTGGGCTGCTGGATATTAACGCCAGGTCATTCTGTTGCCCTTTTTTAAACTAAATTAATTCTGCTAAAGCTGTATTTGAAATGTGAATTATTTTGCTAAGTGGGCAGAAAAATATGCTTTCGATGATATAATTCGTGCCCAATAGAATTCTCGCCCAATAGAAGAGGCAACCCTCTTACGTTACATGAGCTGTAGTCCTTGCATATAAAACTGAAATAGAAGCCTGTTAGCACAGTTTTTGGGCTAGGTACTGTTCTCATTCATCCCTGCCAGTTCAGCCCAAGAGAGCAGAATGCAGCTCTTCATGCAGGCAAATGTTTGAACATAAGAAAATACCTAATGTGGGAAGGACGCAACAAAAGTCATTGATTCCATGCTTGGCAGTACAGAACGGGCTGCTGGCCCCACAGCCTGACCTACTTGGAGTTTCTCCAGAGAACGGAGTGCATCCTTCCTATGACTAAACTGATTGTCTTAATTTCCTGGGGCAAAGATACATATTACATAATGATGCAAATCCCTGAATTCACCAGTGTTACAAGATTCAATTAATGAGGATTCTTACTGCAGTACAAATGGTAACCTCGTTTAGGAGTAGCATTAAATCCCATGGGAAAACCTGAGAACTTTGGAATGATCAAAGCATGTAATATGAAATTTTTCTCATTGTTATTTACTTGGATGCTTGAAGTTGACAACAGTTGGTTTCTTTGATGACATTAACAAAGCTTTAAAATGGTAGGATAAGAAAACAAAAACTGAATCTGACTGCAGGGCAAGGGGGAGCTGCAGCAAACATCGGTGTGAAATGTAACTGATGATAGGTGTGTGGTTCACACCAGCCAAGCAGGGTAATCATTTTGAATGTGTTATTTCTTTTTGTTGGACACTACTCTCCCACTTGCTTGGTTATAAATAATAATTCCCAAGGAATAAATACTATGGGCATCCATTCTTCAACCCCACCTCTGACCTCCTAACTCCAACAACAGCAGTAGAAGAAAATCCTTTGAGATGACAGAGAAAGCAGCTGAGCTGAGAGCTTTGGAATGAACTTTAGATTTGAATGTGAAATACTTAAGACAACCATGGATTGTGGAGCTTCAGCTAATGCAGGTGAGTTGGAGCAAATTGGAAAGTTGTAATTAGGAATAGAGGCTTTTAGAGAGTTTTTCTCCAGCCTTTGCAATAATAGGTGCTCAGCCATGGCTGAATTAACATCCCACTAATTTCTGCTTGAAAAATAAAGTAAAACATTTGTCAGATGAAGTAGAAACAGGAGCCTGCTTTCAGTTACTGACCAAACTGGCTCTGAAAGGAGAGGCTGGCAGTGTGTTTTTACATATCAGATTATCTCTCAGATACAGATGTTCATTGTCAATTTAAATGCTGCCCTGCCTGCAGACAATTCCCATGTCGAGGATACAGGACTGTAAAACTTGGTAACAAAGGTCTGTTCTCTGTATTATATAGATGGTTTAATCCTGTCTTAGTGCCAGCAACAGTAACTGGACTGAGAATACTCTGCTGTTAGATTCAGAGATATACTGCATCAAAGCCAAGCCCATTTAAAAGAAAAAGAGCATCTCTGCCTTTGTTGCCCACAGTGTATTTATCATGGAGCATTCAATATTTGTCTTTCTGAAGCTGAAAGAGCAGCTTAACTTCAGAAAAAGCCATCTGTACTCAGCTGTATCTGAGGTGATTTATTCCAGAACCAGCGAGTATTTCTTGTCCTCAACAGCCTGAAATGAAATTGAAGATGAGACTGCAGCACCCTAAACCTTCAGTGCCCAGTGAATTTCTTGAAGCTGCCTCAAGCCATGTTACGTACCAAGTATTTGCAGGGATGTTTCCATGTTAAAAAGCGCACTTTACATCGTTAAAATGGCCGTGTCAACTTGGGAGGAAATGTAATTTTCATAACATGCAGATTTGGCCAAAACGGTTGATTTTAACCTCACAGATTTAAGGGACAGTAGTTCTGATAACCATTCATTTGTTTACAGTATCAGTAAACTGTAGATGTTAACAGTTCTGCAGCTGTGGCAGAAGAGATTGTTTAGAAAACTAAATATTGGTTGTGCTTGACTGTAATCTCAAATTTACAAGAAGTGCAAGTGAACACAAATACATTTCCGACCTGGAGTAACCTTGGGCAGCATGAACTCATTTGGGGATGGGGTGGAGTTGGGACATGCTCAGAAAAGTGATAAACAGTTCTAGTCCCTCATTCTGGGGTAAAAAATCTGTTTTCTACATTTTGTAGTGAATCCCTTCTCACTTTGTAATGATAAAGCATAAAAGATTCTCTGTACAGAGCAGTGCACTGTTCACAAGCGATCTTCAGTACAAACTGCTCTGCACCAAAGCACTGATCCACATAAGGGAGCTAGAACTTTATCAGGATGGGAGAAAAACGGGTCACTTTTACGTTAATTAAGTTTATGATTTAGGCCTGATGTGCACACAATTCTTGTACTGATTGAGCTACTGAAGTTACGGGGGGATGATTTTTCTACTGAGAACTTCATCGGTACAACCCCTAGCGTGGAAGTAGTTGCATCAGTGTAGAGCAGGGGTTCCCAAACTTGGTTTGTGGCTTGTTCGGGGTAAGCCCCTGACAGGCCGCGAGACACTTTGTTTACCTGAGTGTCCGCAGGTACGGCCACTCACAGTTTCCACTGGCCGCAGTTTGCCGTTCCCAGCCAATGGGAGCTGCGGGAAGCAGTGGCCCGGCCTGCACCGCTTCCCACAGCTCCCATTGGCCGGAAACGGTGAACTGCAGCCACAGGGAGCTGGATGGCTGTGTCCATAGAGGCTGCACACGTACCCTTGTGGATCCAACTGCTTGGCCCAGGAGATGCGACTTACTGTCCTGTAGCTCCTTTCCACATGACCAGAACCTATATGTGCCAGGATTCTGCTGTTGGGGAATTTCCTGCAGAACCTTTCCCTTGCTGTGGTCTCTCTGCTTTCATGAAAGAACAATTATTTATGTAGGCCTCTTCCTGCCAAAGAAAGCATTCAAAAACACAAACCAAAAATAACTGCTGCAGTGCTGTCTTCCTTGAGTCTGCAGCCAGCCTGAAACAATGGCAGAGATCTGTCCTCATTCGCTGCAGTGGGGGTAATAATGCAAATCTTAACATCTTGCTGATACGCGGATCCCAGATGACAAGTGTCTAAGCATCACCTGCACAGACATCAGTAAACTCTGTTGATCTGCTTGGTGCCAAGGGAGCCTCAGCTCCATGCCGCTTGTTTTCTTGGGCTGGGAGGTTTCTCTCCCCTCTCGGTTCCAATGGAGAGGGATTTGAGTGCTCAGAAGGTGTGGGGTTCTTCCAAATGCTTAGTGTCTTGGCACGCTTCGGATCCGATCTTTAGCTCACGCCTTGGTTTGCGAGACAGAGTCCCTAGTGGATGCACTTCAGTACATTTTAGTGACACTGACCTGAACAGTTCCTAGCTTCCCAATGCTGACATGGGAAGCAAAACCCAGAGCCATGACACATTTATTTCATCCAAAGCCCCTAGTGAATTTGCTAAGGCACTTTCCATTTTGAAAGTTGATCAGTGTGTCCCGTGGATACACCAGAATTCTTCTCCCAAATCTATACATTTAAAGCTGTATATACAGTTTAAGAGGGTTAAAATAAAACCAGCTCAGCAAAAGCAAATATGCCATCATGCTGGGTGTTCAGATAGTAAGCTCTCCAGGTCACACAGCACATCTTTTGTACTGGATGTTTACTTGTTTCCTTTAAAGGTTTTGTGTTAGTTTTGTTAAAGAAATAGACAGCCACAGCTCAGCACACACTATGCGTCAGCCACAAATGCAGGGCAGCTAACTTTAGAAACTTATCTTAAAACTAGTTTTGTTCTCCTGCAGAATTTGTTTTAGGACAATCTATGTTTTGCACAGTACTCAAATAATAAATCAGAAAGCCAGTTGCACCATTTTACTATGTAGTGTGGCAACAACAGCGTAGGAGCTGGTTTTATCCATAGCAATAATATCCAAATACAGGTGTAATCTTAATGCATCAGTAGGGTCCTCTCACCAAATAGTAAAATTCTGTGGTTGGGGAATTTTGTAACTGGTTGTGTCAGGGAGAGAATACCATTTTCAGCAGGCCACTGAGAGTACTAACTATAGTGCCTCCAGCAGTCCTCCAAGTAAGGCTTTCTCCTTTGTCACTAGACATACACAGCCACTTCATTACATAAATGCTGTGGGGGGCTGTGTCAGCTGGAATAAGTTAACACACACACAGGATTGTACCAGGAAGGCTGGACACGACATGTCAGCATTTTATTTACCAAAAGTGAAGCTGAACCCCAGAATGATTTTTTTTTAAAAAACCATAAGCTTATATGGCAGGTATTTGTCCCTCCCGCTGTCAACACCACAGTGCAAGAATCGATCTCTCTGCAATCACTTATCCTTTGAGAATCAAATACTAGTTGTAAAATGAGTTAATAAAATATGGGTCTCCCAATGAATCAATAAAAAACATTTAACTCAATGCAACAGACCAATTTGCAAAACCAACTTATGGAATTCTCCCAGGTGAAAGACCTTTAAAGCACTTGGAGCCTTGAGGTAGCATTTTTATGCAGAATTCAATTTTTTTTTGAGTGGAGGAAAATATTGGTAGCACATCTTTAGCTCCAGCCAGGCTAAGTGGATTTCAGTAATTCTCTTATGAGGCTAGTGGCTTTCTTTTGCATCTTTAAATACTGATATAACACTATAGCCTGTAAAGAGAGAAATTACAAGGAAGGCCTCTTGAAATAAAGCATATGTTTGAAGTGACTGAAAACAGAAGTAATTGTAATAACAACAAAAAGTAACTGGAGTGAAAAAACCCAAAACATTTGTATTTTGGCAAGACTGGTTTGCAAATACATGTCAAGAACCAGAATCCCAACATCAGCTAACTGAAAAGGAAAGAGATGGAAGGTGACATTCAAAGGGGTTTTTCTTTTTTCCTCTGTGCAAAACTGCACTTTGGGTTTTTTTGTTTTTTTTAAAAGACAGCTTTTTTTTTGTACATTGTGAAACCTGTGCTGTGACATTAACCAGAAATACCATATGCCAGGACACTTGACCACTGAAAGCTCCTCTCACTGACTTCACAACAATCACAAGCAGAGAATCAGAAATAAGACAGATATTTCTCCTAATCTCAAGATCATCATCCTCTTGCCCACTTTGCTGCTGAGGTCTCTTATTAAACTAGAGCTCTCTCCGCTACCAATTGCTGGGAATCCATGGCAGATTTACTGAACACAGAGCAATACCAACAGAGAAACTCACACATCCATTAGACACATTAAAACAAAAGTGGCTGGAGTAAGACAGGGATGTGGTGATGCAGCTGAATCACTACTGACCAATGTCTCAAAGTCAATTCTCACTCTCTCTTTTCAAGCACTCTGACTTTGTCCTTTATTGATACTCTGGCTGGCTAGCCAAAGGTGCTATTGAGTAACATTCTATAGGTCACCTCTCCCTATCTTCTTATCCCCACTCCCCAAAAGACTACATAGCAAATTGGTTAAAACAAACCAGACCAGCCAGGCAGATCCCAAAGATGGACTTTAAACTGATGATCCCCCACCCCTTGCCCTTAGAGGCTCATTCTCTCTGCTCAAAGTTCAGTTGCTCACTTGCATCATACTACAGTGTCCCATCTGACATTGGGTGTGACATGGCTGTGTGTGATAATTCCACTCTACTGCATGCAAGGAGCATAGAGATGGATAAAAGTTTGTAAATCTGTTCCCTCATCTGGGACCTCTAGCTTTCTGAGTCCATAGCCTC